AACTTTTACTTACATTATTAGTTATGTTTTCAAAATTCGAAAAAAGTTAGTGATTAGTGTTCATCAGTTAATCATTGATAAAATCGTTTACGTGCTATAATATAAATACATATATAATACTTCAATTTAGAACTGAATTGACCACTAACCATAAACAAGTTCAAATGTATATCATTCATCACCAAATAATCTAGCAAATCACAGTGGCAGAGCCATAAATCTGTACAGGGGCTAAAAATCTTAAATCAAATAATTTAATAAAAAAGGGGGGCTAAAAATCTTGATTCAAATAATTTAACTGAAAAGGGGGGCTAAAGGCTTATCAACTACTAAAATTTTCAAATTTGTTACGAAACTTACATATAATTTTACATAGTTTGAGAGTTGAAGGGGGCTATTGCCTCCGTCACTGGAAATCATTCAAATCGTATCACAAAAATAACCATTTTTTTATTGTACTCAAGTTAGTAATCGGTAGTGGACACATAATACTGACAAGGAGGCTAGGAAACAAAGAAGAGAAGGTACAAATAAAATTAGTAATCGGGTTGGATGATCTTAGTTTATGTTTAAGTTTTTTCTTAATTTTCTTTTGTGGTTAAATTAATGAACCAATGGACCAATCAAATCACAATATTTCATGTCGTTTTGATCCATCGACCTGAGACAAAGAGAAGGGTCTATCTATTTTATTTAGTTATTCACACTCAACCGTTAAAAATCATTCGGTACATTTCTACCCGTTCAAGAACGCGGATCAAACTGCTATTGGAACTGATTTGATGTTTCTATTGGTTGATGATCCGATTCGATTCTTATAGCAAGGACTATTAGACATACTCTCGACCTCAGTCATATGATAGGGTTTGAGTTACGATGCATAATTTTGTTTACTAGGATGATAAGATAGGTGAGAAATTGTACAAAACCATACCACTCTAGTAAGAAATCTTACTTATCGTATTAGTGTGGTAAAATGCGGAGTAATGTAGGGTCGTCAACATCATGATTATATATCTTATACAGTCCCATTTTTCGTTTGCATGTGTTGTCTAAATTCTATCCAATACGTTTGATTCATAATTGTTATATCTGAATTTCTAACAAAATCTCATGACGACGGGTTTTAGCCCTAATCCATCTACCAATAATTGATCAGTGCGTCGAGTAATTTAACGTTATCAATTGTGTCACCTTTTCATTTTCATTTTAGAAATTGTTTTTCTCTCATAGTAAAATCGACTTATTGCAGTATGTTTCTTTGTAGCACATATACAAATGAATCCATCTATCCCGCGACTTGTAACCGAATTACAAGACTTGATTGATTTCTTACAATAATCCAAGAATAGAGTTTGAGATAGCCGTGAATATATTAATCTCAGTGTCATTCCCAAATTCAACTCATAGCAATCATGCATACTCTCGATCGCGATAGATAATGTGCGTTGTCTCGAGGAACGAAACAATGAGTTAAGAGTTTGCGTTCTTGGTTTTACGTAGGAATGGGGTCAAAGCTTCTTTCTTTTCGCTTGTTCTTGGTTTTATGGTAGATTACGGGCCGTCTAATGCCCCGAATGCTTTCCTGTTTTTTTTTCCTTTCTGTTTTTTTTTTTTTGGTGTAATGGTGTTATACTATTTCTGGTGTTTTAAATAGAATGGCAATTGAAACCGGCTTAGTGGGTTTTCAATTGGATATGATCTAGTCAAATCGGGCAAAACCCAATGTTTGTTTGGTCAAATGCGGATTTGAATCGTTTTTGCAATTGTCAATGTACGTTTTACTAAAATTCGGTCCGTTTTTTACACGTTTGCATCCAAAAATAGAATGGCGTTTCCCCCTTTTTTTGTATATAAATCTAATAATTTAGATAATCTATAGATATTAGTATTTATCACAATATAGTTCTAGTAATATGGATAATTTGTTGGTGTTATTATTCCTTACGACAGTATAATTGTAAGAAAGTTTTGGAAAATATAAAAAATGTGGGTGTTCGGATGAATTATTTACGAATATTTTCATGAACTTATAAAAACCCATGCACATGTTGATACCCATGGTTCAACGTATAGTCATTCAGTTGAATTAGGTTTCCTTTTCCAAAACTCAATGACTATTTTACTTGATTTTTTGATATTGTGCACCTACTGGTTTTAGTTTGAGTTTTGAGAAAAACAACTCAACTCGACATATTGTCTCTCTAGATAGGGGTGTTCAAATGGTTACCATGGTTATAACCAAACCAAATAAGGTTAAATTCCATTAACCATATAATACAATATCATAACCAAACCGTCCAAACTAATACAACAACCAAATTAATCAAACTAAAGTTTAATCGGTTTGGTTAATTGGTTAACCAGATTAACCAATATAAAATCACATTATCATTGACGATGAAATTTTTTCGGTTAATGCAACAATTCGCAATTTATATAATGAATAAAACATAACAATCAACACGTAGTTATAGGTGAATACTTCTATAATACATGCAACACGTAGTATAGAAGTATTCACCTAACAAAAATTTATGATAATGGTATAGGTTAATGAATTGTTGTGTTTGTGTAAATTGACTTAGTCTCTTAGCAATTATCATAGGCTGGAAATGACCTTCCTTTCAAGTTTTCAATCATCATAATGTATGAAATTTATCTAAATTAGGCGTCCATATGTTGTGGTCTACATTTTACATATACAAATATACACTATATGAGCAATATTGAGCTTTATATTTTATGAGTCTAAAAGGGATGAACGTTAACTCTTGAGTTGTTACGCAAAGTATTAAGTATGTGTATATAATATATGTTAGATATATGGCTAACTATTTAACTGGTTAATTTGGTTTGACTGGTTAGGAGTGTCTGAAACCAAACCAAACCACCTAAACCAAACAAGCTAAAAACTTTAACCAAACCAAACCAATTATCCAAATTAACCAAACTAAATTATCCAAATAGTGACGGTTAAAACGGTTACCATGGTAACCAAACCGTTTGAACACCCTATCTCTAGATATAAATTCATAGCTCCCAGTTTCAGCACATTTTTGCGTAATCATATACAGCTTTGATCTTGTCCATTTGAACTTTCCATCGTTTCCCATATTTAGCATTTGAAAATTCATCTCGTTAATGAAGAATTGTTCCTTTCAAAAGAAATATAATAGGTTGTGTATTTCCATTTCCACGAGGAGTGCAAGAGTAGGGAGAAACGGCATAATCCTATTTTCAAATATTAACATGATTGAGAACTTTTTTTTTTTTGGTATGATTAACATGTTTATAACGACTTTATTAAAAATTTCAGTTCAAGTTGATTTGGAGTCTGGCACATAAATACGTTCGAACAACATTGGAATTCGGTCGACCGGTTAGTATAGTGAATATATAACTGTATATGCATCGTATGGTCTATAACAGTCGCTCTAGCTTTTTCTTAGGTTGAATACTTACATCAACGAAAAGTCCCAATCAACTTAATTTAACCCCAAAAACCAACGACCCGGCCTGCCACGTCACTTTTGCCTGCCATGTCATCCTTCCCTACCTAACCCGCAAACCAACCCAAGACCCAACCTAAGAATCGACTCCTCTCCATCTTTTTTATATTTCTACCCGTCTGTGTTTTTCAACCTCTCATATCGTCTTATATGGAGGTCAACTGATTTCAAGGCATAGTGCCTTGTTATACAGGTTGATTGCTTTCAAGTGAAGACACCAACTCAATATAGTGGTTGCTTGTTCAAGTCGACTATCACGATGTGCAGATCAACTGATTTTGGAGAATATAATATGCACTACCCATAAACCAATAACATAAATAGTTGTTCATAGGGCTTTCTGTTGATATTAATGCTACTCAAACTGTTCTCATGTCCGTGTTCAATATTGAAAACCTTAACTAGATAAAAATTTTAGAAATAATAACATTACGTAATTGTTACGAAATAATAATTAGTTCTTACGTAACAGTATAACAACTATTACATAAAATAAGCATGCGTTACTTGACCATTTTGTAATGCTTATAACATTTTACGTAATACGACCTAAAACCTTATGCGCTATAATAATCATTCCTTACTAGGAAGCATAATTCCCTATAAATATAAGCCCATTTTCTTAAGAAGAAACTTACGAATCATTTAATTATGTATTGATTTGGTGATCGTCAGTTCGTGGGAGCCGTGATATTAAACACATCCGACACCAACAACCCGATTTCCCGCCAAGCCGGCGGCAGTAACCAGGAACTGGTTTGCTGCGTGGTGGCCCGCTATCACTCGGCCGGCACCCTGAAATCGTACCTGGAAAAGCACCGCCGGAAGAAGCTCCGGCTGCGGAAAGTGGTCAAGCTCTCTCTACAACTCGGGAGAGGACTGGCTTACCTTCACTCCCGCAAGCTGATCCACAGAGACATTAAGCCGGAGAACGTGGTCGTCGATGCCGACAACAAGGAGCTGAAGATCATCGATTTCGGGGTGGCCAGGGCGGAGCCAAAGAACACCGGCGAGATGGGCGGCCAGATCGGGACCATTGGCTACATGGCGCCGGAGGTGTTCGCGAGCAAGCCCTACGACAGCAAGTGCGACGTTTACAGCTTCGGCATTTGCCTGTGGGAGATTTACTGCTGCGAGGCGCCCTTTGCCCACTTGGGATTCTCTCATCAAACTTCTCCGGTCGTCTACAAGGTTAAAACAAAACCGGCAGATGATGAATTGTGATACCCTCTATTCTGTTTCCTGAAATCGCTCCGGCAAATTTTGCAGAGCGTACGACCGGAGATACCAGGAAACTGTCCGGAGGCACTGGCAGCGATCATGAAGCAATGCTGGGAAGAAGAGCCAGCCAAGAGACCAGCCATGGAGGACGTGGTCTCCATGTTGGAGGCCATCGTCGACCTACTCAACCTTGCGAAAACAGAAAACAGCCCTTTGTCCTTCCTCCCTGCACGCTGCTCGTGTCTCCGATCTCACTTCAACTGCAACAACACCTAACGGTAACACCTCTGGGTCAGTTGGGATGGGCGTGTTGCAGCCAAACGAACCACAGGAACTGCTTTGATCCATGCTAGAAGCAAGCACGGACCACTTGCTGTTTACTAACTACTAACCTCCTTCCTTTCCTGGCCAAGGACAACCTTTAGCTCTGCCTGTAAAACTGGAATGCAAAAAATGAAGGGCTGCTATACTTCCATGTATCAAAAGATGATCCAGAGAGGTACAACAGCCTTTTTGACTGCTAAGAATGGTGGGCACTACTTTGTTTTTTCGTGCCGAAATTCCCACAAATGCAGTACTTCCCCTATGTATGTACACTTTGATGATGAAGCCAAAACCCGCGAAAAAGCAAGAAGAGAAGAGGGGCTTCAAAACTCTACCTTACTCTACCTATTATTATTTCACGCCCGAGAGAAAATGGGTATCCACAATTTTCCTCTGTTTCTCAGGATGTACATAACTAACTAACTCCTTGTGCTTCTTTACCCTGAATCTGAGCTGTACAAAGTTAGAGATCCTTCAGCTGAATTACCATTTTCTGCTGCTCTCACTTCTCCGGAAGGGGCAGCCGATGATCTGCAAGCAAAGCTGTCCTTTCTTGATTCAATAAACTTGGTCTTGAGCAGATCTCTGATTTTCTTTCTCAAGCCAGATGCTTCTTCAGGTTTGAACCACTGCTTGCCGAACTGCAACACAGAAAAAAGTTCATATATATATGATAATATGTCTTGAGCAGAGTGATAAAAAATCTTCAAGAAATGGGTGGGCGGGTGTGGGTGTGTTGGAAAATATACCATGTCCAGATCAACTTCTTTCAGCCTCTCGGGGGCCTCGTCAATGAAGCGCTCCATGAAAAAAAGTACAAAGGTACCACAATCATAATCGTTTGTTTGTTGTGGAACCTGGTAGTCGTTGTGATTTAGAAATCAGAAGACATACAAGAGCTGTTGGGCTCTATCAATCCTAGAATAGAAAGATCATATGAAATTCAAACTCACAGTAATTCGATTACCTCGATTCTTTTTGAAATAATGTTGCGAAGACGCTTCCGTATTCTGTCAGACATCTCACCATCTGACTGAGCAACGACTTCTTCACGTAAATATTGCCATTCTGCTCTCAAGAAGCTGTGGATTGATATGCAAATGACACGGGATGTTACTCAATGAGAAACTAATTGTGATGTGAGAGATCTATTTAACTGTTTGAAATATCAGGAACAACCAAAACCTAGCTACAAAAGTCTGTCCAGTTCGAAGGTAATTTTTATCTCACCTGGTGATATCCTCCAAAACAACTCTGCTATAGTGGAGCTTCAATGAGTCCAAATGAAGCACGATTGGTCCTGATCTGTTGTCCTTCTTCTCTGGGAAACAGATGATCACCAAGCTCCAGTGAAGACTGATATATCAGCACCCATGAAAAAATGTATAAATATTACGCCAAATCAAGGGAAAGAAAGAAGCCTGGGAAGCAAGTCCCTTTTTTATTTTAGCAAGCTTCACAAAGGATCAGTCAACAAATGCTAAATCCATTAAACATACGAAATGGAAGCAGGAAGCTTGCAGCAGTCAGCAACCAGAAGGAATTGTACAATGAACCTGAAAATAAACTTACTCTTCATGTATGGGAATCAGTACATATGCCTTCTCGAATAAGTTCACACCCTTCCACCATCTTCTAAACTTGACAAAAAGGGACTCTTTTTCACTTTCCTACACATGAGAACAGATTGCAGGTGAAAATAGTGCATTCACATACCAAGACAGCTGTTTCTCTGAAGCAATCAATTCAATTACCTTCCGTGACAACTCCTGTTGAAGCTTCTTGTAGAAGAACGTATTAAATATGTGATAATCACAAGTAGCCTTTTGAGATGGAGAAGCCTGCAACTCTAGGTACCTAAACAAAGGATCATATAAATACATGGATGCTACTCAACCTCAATATTTCCAGATTCAAGTAGTGATGGACAAGTGGTGTAAACGCTCAAACATTCACTACAATAACCAGCCACACCCAAAAACACCTCCTTTGCTCTTACTTCTGAGATGAAAAAGTGAATTCCATGGCTCCCAAACTCTGTTAACCCATGTACAATGACGACAAAATGGTAATAGCACATCTAGGAGCAAAAAAAACCCTTTTCGTGTACTCTACTGGTATGGTGGGCTTTGTTATTCTTACTAGGTTGTGTATGGTTCTTTGACATTGTGTATCTTTTGCTCTCGGTGGTACGAGCTATCAGTTGGCACCGAAAAAAAGGTAACCAGGATGAAAGTTCCCTTTACCGTATGTAAAAGTTCATGATAGGTGATGTCAGGAAACTTTCAGGTGCCAGACAGTCTATATCCTGGAAACAAATTTCAACACACTCTGGATCATCCCTGCATCCATATCAAGTAAGAGGTCACTAGTACCCTGGACTCTTCCTGGTTCTATTCCCAAAGAAAGAAAATTTAAAAAAATACCTTGATGGGTAGTAGATTTTAGCATCTTTCATGCTGAAGGTCAAAGGGAAAATCAAAGGTTGTTAATATAGGTAACTAGCCAAACAAAACAAAAACAAACAAAAAAGAAAACGCCCTTTGAATCTGAACTTACCATTCATCACGTGTTTCATCTATACAATCAAGTGTCTCCAGAACTTCATCATCATCATCCAAAACAACCACAGTCTCCCTCTGTTCACAGAAGATTGGAATAAAAAAGCTGCACAGATTTCGACTGAGAGATATAGAAAATAATTCTTCACTTTCAATCCAAGAAAAAAGTCCTTGGTTTCTATGATCAGAAGTCTGACAGCATGAACACCTAGATAATATAAATATTCAATTCGCTATGCTACCAGGAAACAACATTACTTCAGGGTGCTGTCTAACAAAAACTAGGAAGACATCAATGCTGAGCATATGCTGATGGAATTAGAGACTAAGAGATTAACCACCCAATATTCCTCAAGAACATTCAAAAAGTTTCAAATTTAATTTATTCTTAGTACAGCACCAAACATAAAGATGCAGCGAAAAGAAACCATGTATATCTACATATAGCCAGCAGATCTTAGTGCCAAGAAGTTTAGGTATTGTATTCTCCCCTACTTGCCTTTCTATGTCTGAGACCATATGAAGGTGGGACCCGAGATTCCTCTTTTCTACCTAAAACCCTGAAATGAAGGAAATAAACATTAATCCGAGAAAAGCTTGCCACTCTGGTACACAGGAGGAACATAAGATTGAAAGATAAGCTAAAAAAAAATGTTGCAGATAAGATTATGGATTAACACGCATTTGATGCAAACCCAGCAAAAAATTGCTTCCACATTAGTGCATATAAAGGGCGACATAGTCAGACACATCAATTTCAAAATGAAAAGCATGGCTGAAAGGAACCAATACCATTACCAATACTTGGCTATCCAGTGTGCCATCTTAAATGGGACAAAAATCTAGATCAAAAGCTAGGTCAAATAGGAAATAGAAAGCAAGGTGAGGAAAGCAGGTCACATTAGTTTTCATCTATACCAAAAGCCCTATACTAGACCATCTAATTAGTATTCATACAGGGGACCAAGTTCTTACTGCTGCTGTCCCTTCAACACAATTAGCCACAGATAAGAAACAGAAATCACACCGACATGTAGGCAAAAACCATCAGGACAGCATACACATAAGCAAACATGGTAGATGAGAACTTCTTACCCATTAGAAAAATGTTTAGATGCACTTTGCCCTTTACTGTAGAAGGAATCGGATGAAATTCCCCTGTCCTTCCAACCAAAAGAAGATTGAAAACTCCGTTTTCTTGATCCATTTTTCTGCCTTCCATTTAGTGACAACCCCTCATTGAGTTTCAGTTTTGGACGGCTGTGAGTACCCAGAGCGGATAGTTCGCTATCGAATGCATTAGCAACCTTATGATCTGCCTGTTAAATGAAATATAACAAGGCAGTAACCATAAATTATATGTGGAGCGGATGTGAGTTAACATTCATGTAGGAATATCAAGTAAAGCAGCATACGTTATCTTCCAACTTTTTCTTAAAAAGGGAGCCAAAACGCGATTGTGAATGAATTTCGGAAGATGCCATCTCTTTACTGCCACCTGGAGCACCTACAAAACACATTTAGGCACTCAGAATTCTTCTTAAGTTCATGCTTCAAAGTTGAAGGGTCATGTATTCTCGCTGAACGGATTTACAATTTACCATTGCCATCACTAACTTAGTTTCAGCTCGGAATAGATTCTTAAAACAAGAGGCAGCCCACAGTGATACTCACCGTTTATACCTGTACTTACTAGCGGTCTGGATTTCTTAGAGTCACCAACACCCTGGAAAGAAAGAATGAATCATTTAAAAGAAGTTCCTCCAACGAAAGCATCATTTATAGCGCTAACACCTCGGAATGACTAATAAAATCTATCATCAACAGATTATAATGACTCCATCATGGAATTCATTATGCTTCTCTTTTTAGACAATTTTGTAGTGCAAAATTGGAAGTCAAAGAACAAAAACCAGGATAAACAGGACATTGGCCAAATTAAAGGAAAAACCTTTACGCAAAAACCAAAAATGTCGCTTCCCCTTTATCACAAACACGTGGCAGCTGAATTGCCCCAATACAAAATATTGTACTAGAGATCAGAAGTAGTAAACAAACAAATAAATCAACACTCCATATCTACTATTCTGCAAAATGAACCCCCAAAAGTCAAACAATCTTTCATTCTACCATTAAGATGGACCAATGAGTAACTCCTTCAGCTTGGGACAAGAAACTTACAAACTTTGCTTCTTCAGGATTGCTAACAAGTGGCTGGGAAGGTCATTCTAACGACACAAACAAATGTAACATCATTGCGTACTTCACGTGGCATTCGTATATATAGATAAAGAAGCTAACTCCTAACAGAAAACTTCCTAATAGACATCATGATCTGTCCAATGCATAAACAATATAAATTATTCTGGAGATTCAAACCAATGGCATTCAGTGGTACGGATGCCTAACGCACGTCAATACCACGCAGAAACCTAGAGGCTAGAGCTTCATATTTCTATCTAATTTCAGTAACCTTGATCCAAAGAATTCTAATTTAAGGTTAGCAAATGTAGACAGAAGCTCAATGGTCCACATTCAACTGTTCAAGCACTGCCAAAATGTAAGTTGCCAGACCAAGTGACCACCATCAAACAGTCCACCATCTCTTCGCAGTATCTCACTGACCAAAGAGCACATGAACAGCCATGAAGTGATCTCAAATTCTCAAGTCCAGTGGATGCAGATTGTACGAAGGCGAAACATTCACGCCCGAAAGGAATGACCTCGACAGAAACCAAGGGCAGAAAATGGAACCAAACTTCCATCTGAGAAAACCCACTTTTACCAGTTTTCTTATAAAGCTGCCAAACAGCAACAAAAAAGAAATGGAATAAAACCGACACATGCAAGAGCGATTCAGAGCAAATTGCTATGGGGCAAACCGAAAGAAACGAAGACAAACCATGGTCGTCCTCGCGGATTTTCTCCTCTCTCGCTCCTCTTCCATGATTCTAATGGTACCCCGGATTTTCCCCCCTCTGTCTGGCAATGTACCACCAACTGCCTTCAGAGTCCTACTTTGCCTTAAAATCGCCTCCTCCAGCTGCCCATTAGTCATTTCAGCGCACTCCTTCCTTAAGGAGATGGAATGATCGTCGTGTTCAGAGGCCATCGTCGCCGACGGGGTGCATTGTTGGCGGGGGTTTTGATCATCAGTGTGACTTCCCTTCTTCTCCGGGACGACTTCCGGTAAAGAATCCATCTCGTCGAGCTGGCGGTCAATCTCTTCCCAATTGATATCCACTTTTCGCTTCTTCGAGCTCTCTTCTTCCGCCATGTTTTCTTGTGTCCCTCTCTTCTTCTGGCAGAAGAAGCAGCGGAGCCCAGAAACTCAAGCGCCAGTCCTAATTTTCTCTTGGGGCAGGTTTTCCTGCGTTTATTGTGCTCGTCTGGCGTCGTTTTTCTTTTCTGCTGACGATGTTACCCTTTTGCCCTTTTAGCGATCTGGTGCGCGGTTTTTCTACGAGCTGGCAATTCCTTTTGGGATGGAAACGGATGTGTTGCGTGTGCCACTCTGCAGTCAGAAATAGGATGGTGAATTGTTGGTGATTGACAAACTTCGATTTTGTTTGTAAACGTAAGATTTGGGATTAGGAGGACTCCAGAGTGGGTAGTTTGGTTTTGGTGATATTTAAATTAATGCATTATGATCAATGGGAATGCGTTAGGGTGATTACTCAAAATTGGGTAATCATGGTGACTACTAAAATCTACATCCTTCATTATCTCTATTTCACCCTAATTTTAATTTGACGGTGAAGATTATATTAAGGGTAATTTCGAGAATAAAAAAAAATATCACACTAGATTTTTATCCTTTAAAAAATTAATTTCTATACATTATATACCTGAACCCTACTCCAACACCATTCTCTATCGTCGTCAACACCTCTCCTGCCGGCGGCCACCCTCCCAAAGCCAGCCAACCTCCCACTGTCAGCGGCCACCCTCCACTCCGGCTACCCTCGCCACCGCTGCGGGCACCCTCCTGTTGGTCTCTCTCTCTCTCTCTCTCTCTCTCTCTCTCTCTCTCTCTGGGAGACGGCTGTGGTGGACGGTTGAGGCTCGAAAAGGCGGGATGAATAAAAACTCTAGATCTGGGTTTTTTCGCATTGGTAGTGATTTTTTCGTAGTGGTAGTTTTTTTTGCATTGGTATTGTTTTTTCCGCATTGGTAGTGATTTTTTCGTAGTGGTAGTGTTTTTTCACATGGGTATTGGTTATCAATTTATCATGTAAGCGTATTGTTTTTTGGTGAAATGGTAGTGTTCTTTTTCTGTAGTAGTAGTGTTTTCGCATTGGTATTTTTATTTTTATTTTTTTGCATTAATATTGATTATCATATAATGTTATTCATTTGTATGTATTGATATTGATTAAATATGCAATGGTATTGGTGTTTTGTGAAGTGGTAGTGTTTTTATTCTCGAATGGTATTGGTGTTTTGTGCATTAGTAGTATTTTTTTAATGGATTGGACGATTGGTATTGTTTTATAGTTGCAGCGGTATTAGTTCGGTTGAACGAAAATAAGGAAAAGATTGAGAAAAAAAAGAAAGAGAGATCTGGCTGGAGATTGTGGAAGTGAGAGAGAGAGAAAATTGGAATTAATATATTTTATAAGTTTCTAAAGTGTAATTTGTTAAAAAAGGTCATTAATAATTTTATTGGCATACCCAGTTTGTCTTGTGATTACTATAAAATAGTAATCACCGTAACCTGTCCTTGATCAATGAATGCATTGTAATATACATGCATTAAGGAAAATTATGTAATGTACTTTACATTGTTTGGTTTTGGTGATAGTTGTTTTAGTATTTAACAAGTTATATTATTTTTGTGGGAAATATCACTTTTACCCTTCCTTACTTTTATGAGAACATATATATATAACTAGGGGTATACTTGGGGAAAAAAAGGAACCCAATAATCTCGTTCGAACTATCTCAACAATCTCAAGTTTTAGTAGAGATATTACTTTCACTCATTTTGAGTGGTAGTTTCCATCCAATCAACAAACAATGGTTGTATTGTTTAGGTAAATAAACCCAAAAACAATGCACACATTGTAACAATCTCACCTAAACTATCACCAAAACCAAACGACCCCGTCACTAGGGATGTGAATGGGTCGGGTTGGGCGAGTTATATGCCAAACCCAAACCCATGGGTTTATCCACCAAAAAACTCGGGGTAAAATCCACTGGATTGGGAAAACTCAAACCCAAGCCAACCCGCTGGGTATCCGGGGTTCATGGGTACTCATGGGCTCATGTACAAAGATGTAATTACACTAGATTTCACTACTATTGTCTACTACATACACGCTAACTCACAAATTATCATACTAATTGTTCAATATTAAAGATAAACATACACAAACAATATGATTAATTGAACGTGTGAGAAATAAGTTTAAAAATTATAGTTAATTAGTTAAGGGTTTTGTGGGTCGTGGGGGTATGAACTTGGGTGCAGGTATTCACGGGTTGGATATGGCTAAACCCAAACCCAACCTACAAAAAGTATAACGGGTTTAAACTCGAACCCGACTGACAATCTGTTAAATAGGATTTTACCCTCTTTGACTGGTTTGGGTCGGGTAGGTTACCCACAGATTCAGATTCAACTGTCATCCCTAGTCACTAAGGGGTTACTTTAGTGATTTCACTAAGCCCATACGGATTCTTAAATTTCTTAGTTGACATCTTAGGGTTGTGGTTGTTGTGTTTTCTTAATAATATTGAGTGATAGGAGTTGTGAATTTTACAATCAAGGATAATTTGGGTATAAAAAATCATATTAATTACTTTTTGTATTAATTATACTTTTGAAATTAAAAATTCCTATTAAACACATTGTTCTTTTTAAATTTAAATTCCACAATAAATACATTTCTCTCATAACTCTCCCTTCCTTTTCCAGCAACCACTTCAATCCGACCGACTTTCTCTAGTGAAATCCTTCTGTTAGACTCCTTCCGGCCACCTGCAAAAAGTAACACCCCGTTAAAAAACTTACCACTCCATCAGTCTCGTCATAGTGATTTTCGTAGAGTGGTACGGAGATGGAGCTCCTTGGCAGTTACGGTTTTTTCTTAGAGATGGGGTGAGAAGGGATGAGGAGGACGACGAAGGGAATGGAGAGATAAGGGGTGTAACACCTTAGGCAAATCCCACATCGACAAAGCACAGGAGAGATACATGGTTTATAAGTAGAAAACTGTTCTTAACTGACGAGATGTGTTTTGGGGTGAAATGGAGGAGTTCTTGTGAGAACTCCAAAGTTAAACGTGCTCATTGTGGAGTACAACAATGATGGGTGACCTTATGGGAAGTCATCTTGAATTGCACCCCAAGTCGAAAATCGTGCGTGTGTAGAGGCCCAAAGCGGACAGTATCTTGTCGGGAAAAGGTTTGGTATGTTACAAGGGCTTTGAGTTTTTATTTTATTTTTGTTAAGAAAAAGGGATTCTATGGAAAATGGGAAAGGAATCCATGTAGTAAGTTTTTCGTTTGAAAATTGCCTTTAGAGTTTAGATCAATATGTACCACTAATTTGAAAATACGAAGAAAGAAAAGAGAATGGAAGGCTAATAAATGGGTTGCCATTTTCGCAACCCTTAAAAGGAGGAATTCTTTGGTGATCCCGGCTCACCACGTAAGTCATCCCATGTGGTGCTCCCCCACAATTAATAAATTGACACCTGGAAAATTGATTAGTATGGACGGAAATACTTTGATTTTAATTTTGTTTTTATTTTAATTTTTAATTTAAAAATAATACTAATACTTTAATTATCCTTAATCACATATTAACCATTAACTTTTCAATAACTAACAAAACATTGTCTATGTTTGGCCCGGATTTTAGAAGTGTTTTTCGACTTCAAAAGTTGAATCAGGGCTAAATACCTCTAAAAGCTCGGCTTTTGAAAAGCTGAAAAGCGTATTTATATAACATAAAAGCAAAAGCTCCGATTTGGAGCTTCTACGAAAAATTATTTTGAAGATACAAGATTATCCTTACTATATTTTAATATTATTTAAAAAATATAATTTTATTTCATTTATATTATTATAAAAATAAAATAGATTATAAAATCATATTAATTAAAATAAAATAAATCTAAAAAGATCCATATTGACTACTTTTATTTTAAAATTTTTATTCATATTTTAAATTATAAATCATTTATGGTCATTTTACATAACCTAGAGATGGCAAAAATATCCGTAATCGTGGATATCCGCTCGAATTTGACCTTGTCAGATAGGGTAAAACCCGAACCCGAAAAACTTTTATTAAAAAAAAAACTTCTCTAAAAATTCCAGTGAGAAGCTGCTTTTACAAAAGTTACATCAAGGCCAAACTACCTATTAACTTTTGGTTTTTGGCTTTCTAATTAGCTTTCGGTTTTGCTAGTTAATTTACCATGTTAAATTAGGGAGTAAGTAGTTAATTTTCTAATTTGACATGGAGCTTAATTAGTTAATTAATTTACTTTTGTTTTGAGCAATGTAATAGTTGTGTAACTTTGATTTGGACAATTATTAGCATTTACTACTATGTCTACGATTTTATAAATTAGGGATTTACAGTTATTTCTAATATTGTTGTTTAACTTCATCGGAAAAAAAAAATATTGTTGTTAATGAGACACCGGTATTTTATAGACCTCGCAATTGGGTTGGGTTGAGGCCTCAAGTTACGGGTCAGGTCATGTTCGGTTGGCTGATTTCGTGTCAAATAATGACCCAACCCATTAGGTTTCGGGTCGGGTTACAAATTATTTCGGGTCATGAGTGCTCTCAGAACCAATATAAAACATGCTTCATATTTTTTAAAAGAACACAAATATTCACATATGCATGACAATAGTTTACTTAACATATGTCAATTGTCAATTAACATATTCTCAAATCCTTCATGCTAATGAAATGAAATACAAATTGCAAAAATCAAACCTCTTTGAGGGTAGGATACAATGCCTACCCTAAAAGGGATTTGATTTTTGACACCTCTTTCTCATTGGTCCATTTTTTTCTCAATCATTTGATAAGTATTAATGAAAGTGACATACTAAATCGATATTGTTGACATAATAAATACTCTAATAATGACAATTTCTATTAATAAAAAACTCTTCATTATCTAATACAAAACCCTCCCTATAACTCTAGTCGTCTTCCTCTCCGTTCCCTCCTCTCATCTTGTTGCCGCCGTTTACTCTCATCATCTCCCCTCCATGCAACCACCACCTCTGCCTCTCCTTCTTTGCCGGCTGCCGCCGCAATCCACCACTACCCCTACGCCACTCCTCCACTCTTCCCGACCACCACGTCACCAGTCCTCTCCCTGCTGCCGCCCATTGTCCTACTCGCCGTCACCACCATCCCTCTTGCCGCTGTCCTCCTCCAGCGCATCCACCACCATTCTCCTCTCTCTAATCGTCGTCGTCCTACCGTCACCATCCTCCGGCGTCGCTGCCACCATCCCCCGTCGTGCGTCGCCTCCTCTTCCATGTTCCTCTCCTGATGAGTTTTCCATTTCCAGATCTGACTTTTCGATTTTCAATTATGATTTTTGTACCAATGCACTTAAACTCATATATGATATTTGTACCAGTGCACTGGTATAGCGATACCACTGCACTGGTACAAATGTCATATCTGCGCTTAAATTGCAGTGGTAACGCAACCAGTGATCTGGTATAAATATCATATCTGATTTTAAGTATAGTGGTACAACATATCAGTGTACTAGTACATTTTTTTTAATGTAGTGGTTCATTTTGCAGGTGGCCGGATGGAGGCCTGTCGGCAAAAATTTCACCAGAAAAGTGTGGCGGTCGGAGGAAGCCTGGCGGTAGGAGGATGCTGGAAAAGGAATAATCAAAGATAGGGAGAGAGAATTATATTTAGTGTAGATTTAAATTTATAAAAAAGTAAGTAATTAAGATGATGTATTTAATTCCAATGTGTATTAATATGATTGTTAAATTCTATAAGTTGCATTTCATATGTGTCATTTTTCCAACTCTTATGGGTTAGCAAGCTACCAAACTAAAGAGTAATACAAATACAAGAAACACATGATATTTGATTATACTTAAACTTCAAATATGTCTTTCAAATTCCTATAATTTTTTCTAAATATCTCACCAATTTATTAGTGTTATTATTATTTTGGGAGTGAAATATGAAATATAACAAGTCTAGTTATTTTGGGAGTGAAATATGAAATATAACAGATCTAACAGATCGACCCACTAATCCATCCAATCCAGCCCAAAATCACAGACTAATCGCAAAAGAGTCATTCAATTTTCGGATTATAAAAACTTCTATTTTTCGGGCAACTTCAAGTCATATCAACAGATCTAGTTTTTTAACAATTCAATACAACTAAATCAATTAAAGTATGAACCGCATGGTATATTGGTTCATACAACATTGCACCTAACAAACGAAGCAAATCAATAGTGAGGTGACATTGACAAACAAGTTAAAAAGATTTGCCTGCAATTCATGTGGATACCTGTAGTTAAGTAACGCTGCTATACTGAAATCTTGTTCTATTCGAATTAATGGTGAAAAAATAAACTGCATATATTAAATAATACCCCACTCTCAGTTTTCAGCCGCTTTCCAAGGATGTGCCAAAGAGCAGTGAGCTCTGCACGCCCGCCTTCACAGCCCAAAATACTATGCAATTGATTTGCGGGCCACGAAGTCACTTTTCAACATCTAATCTTTGTCTTCCGCATCTAAATGACTAAATCTACTCCCTCGAACTTCAACTTCGCATATGCAACGCAAGAAAGCAGCTCATCTGATGGAAAAAGCACCACCTGCAGGAAAAGGGAAAGCTCCCTTGTGAGAAACGAATCCCGCCAGAGCAAAATCCAGAGAACATACATGGCCAGGACTCCGTCTGTATTCCCAAGTTAAAGAGACCTACCTACATCTGAAGATTAGCACCCCTGGCAAGAACCAGAAGAATCACAAGCCTCATGGTTTGGACTTCAAACCCAGGCCCGACTCCACCTTCTTGATCTCAAAGATGAGCATCCTCCACATTTTGAGCACAACATCTCGGCCTCGTCGTCTAGTATGGACTGAAGCATCTCCAGCATTTGTGCAGCCTTAACATGCTCCTTGTACTTGACACAATGTAGTCCACTAGTGTGGTTTCTTCCTCTCCCAGAAACTCCGTTATCTTCTTTGAAATCCATGGTCTCATTCTATCATGCAGCGAGTGCTGCAAAACAAGTGAAAAGAAAAGACCATAAAATAAAAACATCTTTTCAAGCTCCGTAAGTGAAAAAGCTGCCGTACCAAGAATCATTAGCTCCACATTGACCACATGGGTGCTATGTTTTAATCAAACTTTATGACAAATAGACAGTTAAGGTACACGACAGCTGAAGCAGGGAAAGCGTACCTTGTCATAAACGGTCCAATTGATCTCATATGAGAATAACTCATCCTTGGTTTTCGGAATCATATCAATCAGCTGTTTTGCATCTAAAAGCTTCTGTTTATCTGGGGTCTTCACCTTATCTAGACCATGATCCCGGTACTCTGTCGCGATCCACTCTTCTCTCTGTTCTCTTCTCTGGACCGATGATTACTGTCCTCGTCATTTTTGTCCCGCCGACCAGACCTATCATGAGAACGTTGATTTTTGGTCCCTTGCAACTTCAGATTTCTCTTCCCGGGGAGCAATATTAGATATCTGCTTTGCATATTCAGCAGCAGCACTAGATTTGGTGGTTGAGCTCCAGAAGTAATAGGTTGAACGGCTTGCAATTCCTCGTTGAATAATCTATGGGAACTAGAGCCTCATTCTTTTATCCTTATGAGGATCGTCATCCTCCTCATGGAAAACTGAAGGTACAGCAGCACGTTTCCCAGACCCAACTAAACCAAACCCCAATTTTCTTGTTGGAGCATTAGCACTCACTGGCACTGAGCTTCTGATTCAACCATTGGCACAGTTGAAACTTCACCAGCACCATTCTGCACGCCCTCATCATCTGTAGTGTGAAGTTGCAATTCTGTCACACACACAAAAAAAAATTGTTGCAACAAATTTCATATTGTTCAAACAACCGAAGGGAATCAGTAAAAGAAAATACAAAGCATAAATGTTCTCAGAAGCACCTGTATGATTGGCACTGACAGAGTCACCCTCGTCCCCCTGTTCAATGACTTTATGCGTAGTTTCAATGAACATTCCATCAGACGAAGCAGGCTTCTCGCTACCATTCACAATATCCGCATGTGGAAGTTTCAGCACCTCTTTTTCTTGCTCTAGCAATTTTTCCTCTTCAGCCTTCTTCTTGGCCTCGACAATCTCTTCCTCTTCTTTTAGCCTGTCAGCTAAGTCCTCCTCTTTCTCCCCGTTGTCTTTTTTTTCCGCCTCTCCTCTATAACACTCCTCCGCCATCTTTTCCCAGAGTCATCATCTTCATCTTCTTCATCGTGAAGAATCTCCTTCTTCCGCTTGCGATCTCTTTCTTTCTCCCTTTCTTTCTCATACTGTCGTTGTTTTTCTTTCTCTCTCTCTCTATATTCCCAATCTCTTAGACGTTCTTCATACTCACGCTCAGCATCTTCCACCTTTCTTCTAAGTTCCCTCTCTTTTCTAATACGTTCTCTTTCTGTTTCCCTCTCATATCTTTCTATCTCTCGTTCTTTTTCACGCTTAAGATCTCGTTCCTTGTCTCTGCCCCTTCTATCATACCTTCTGTTCCTGTCTGGTGAGCTTACCTCAGGCCTTTCATGTTCACTTGCTGCTTTGTAATCACCAATCATCTCGTCATTATTTTTTTCTTCAGCAGCATCATCTGGACAATGGAGAAGAAGAGCAAAATCAATCAAATAAACGCTTTTGCGCAGTGGAACTAAACATTATCTCGTATCATAGAGAAGAACAAGCTTTACACATCCACTCAGAGGACTAACCACTTTTCAATGCATCAGTTTCCGAGTCCCCATCTCTTGATTTGGTTTGCTCGGTATTTGGATTGCCAGAACCATCACTAAGAAGTTGCGGAGGTGGAGGAGGAGGTGGTGGTGGTGGCAGAGGTTTGGTCTTCAGTCTCTCTTCTATCATGTTAGAAAGCTTCTCCTGTGCTGCCTTGTCACCTTCTTTATCTTCATTGGTGACAATACCAAAATTGGCCAGATCATGGCCACCTTTGTCCACTTTTTCATTATCACTTTCCGAAACATCTGGAGAAGACTTCATAGTTCCAGCCTTTTCAGATGACTCAGAAGGTTCAGTCTTCTCTGCGTTATTTGGGGCAACATCCTGCTTGGCTCCCCCTTCTCTGAGATTCTTTGAATTTTCAGTTTTCTTTTCAACATATCTATCTAGATATTCTCGTGTTGCTTGATTAACATTCAACTGCAATTTGCAATCCATAAGTAAAAACAGAAAACAGAGAGTAATATGTACTCGGATAATAAGTGAACAGAAGATCAGCAATCCTTGACCAGAAGTTGCAAAATATAACATACCACGAGTTCTTGTCCATCAATATTAAATTTACTGAGCAGACGTAATGCACGGAGAACACCTTCGGCATTTTCAAATTCACAAAAGCCAAAGCCTCTAGGAGTCCCATCAGAAGGATCCTGAGCACGTTTCCAACTCTTTACAGTTCCACAAGACTTCATGAATTGTTTTCCATATGTCACAGACATCAAATAAATTAAATAAGGATTAAGCTGTGCTGGTGCAAAACCATGACAAGAAACATAGGAAAAAACACAATGGACAAGAAGCATGAAGTCAAAGAAGACAAAACTTAATCACAAACCTGAAGAAGAGAAAGCATAAAGTCATTCTCCACAGTTGGTGATATCTTGCCCACATAGACTGTAGTCTGAGGCTTCTCTGCCGGTGTCACGGAAGGTATAACTGGCCTCATAATGGGAGGGATAATAGGACGAACGCCAGGAATACTTGGAACAAGAGGACGAGTCATTGGAAGTATGACTGGTGCACCAGGTGGGCGTGGAGTAAATATTGGACGGATCATAGCTGGGTAAGGTGAAGGATAGCGAGCCATTCCTGCATAAGATAAAATCACAGCTACGCCAACATATTAGAGAAGCTCCAACAACACAAGATGGCAAGAACTGTACATCCCCACCACAATTTATGCATAAGTACTATTAAGAGCAATAAATGTGGTTACCACACAATCAAATCACACTAGAGATGGTACCATAGGCATAAAGTATCACCAGCTGAACAGATAACCTGAGGCAAACATCAAGAAGAGTAGGATCGGATTCATAAACGCAGATATGTTAAATGGGCTTCACTTACCTCGGTCACGCATCCACTTGCTATTGGCAGGCTTTTCAAATTACCCCATGCACCAAATTGCAGATTTTTGCCATTGAGTAGCATGAGATTTTCAATGTCTGACTCACACAAGCTATGGATGACCAGTCCTAGACTACCATGTTAAGCTATTTTAACTTATCCATTCTGTTAGTTGTCCAAAATTAAGATTTAAGACACGCTGGCAAAAAACAAGGAGCAGGAAGAAAAAGAAAAAGACTGAAATCGAAGGATTGGTCAATACCTTAAGAGCAAAATGCCAAGGAGCACTCAGTTGCTAACATGGTCTGCTGCTGGCAATTCATAAACCCACGAAAGGGAAAGAATCCTTATAACTACCAGAAAGATGCCCACTAAAATAGACATGGCACAACCAGAGAGTTTAGAACGAAATGGATTGCGCTTTAAGTCTTTGCTCAGTGAATTCCATATGATGTTTCGTTAACGCAATAAAACAGTAACCCTCGTTTGCAGCATCAGAACATATTCATTATTCTAAATGCAGTCAAAAGGAGCTAAGCAGAGCATACCAAAACAGGGTTGTAGAAGAAGGTGATAGTCTCTTAAGCAATATCAATGAAGCCCTTCCAACCGTAATCAATCAAGACACTGTACGAGAAAACATCAGGGTCATCGATGCCCTTTTTCCCCCAAAATCCCCCTAATAACCTCATGTAAACACAAACTTTCAGATATCATTCCTCGTTAATTTAACGCCAATGACATCCAAGTTCCTCGGCACACAGATTACCATAATAAGGTAAACCAGGACCTGATCAATATGTATAGAGAGGAAGAGAGATACAATGTAGGGAATGAAGGGCAGAACAAGAATAACCCACCAGGAGGGGGCATGATTCCTTGAGGAGTAGCTCCAGGCACAGGCGGATACCCGTTAGGTAATGTAGCATAAGGCGGTCTCAGAATCGGCTGACCAGGTGGAGCCTGGTAATGAGGCATCGCCGGCGGACCCGCGCTAACTCCTGGGGGCTGAACACCAATCGCACTCTGATTTTGGTAATTCGGAAGCGGAGCAAACTGCGGAATCGGACGAAACGAGGGCGCCACTGGCGGCATAGCCGCGCCAGACATTGGAGGCGGCGGTGGAAGACCGTAGGCGGAAGGGAAGGCCGGCGGCGGAGGAGGAACCAGAGTATTGTTGGAATTTGTAGTAGGGCTGGGGTTAGGGTTAGGGTTGGGCGGGGGAGCGATTGAGGATTGTGGTTGCTGTGGTGGCGCCGGAGATGGGGCGGGAGCTGGATCCGATTGAGGAATGGCGTTTCCGGGTTCCGAAGGAGGAGGATTAGAGCCCGGCGCGGCGGCCGATGCCGAGGGAGGAGGCTCGGCCATGGATGAAGCTAACGAGAGACCAAAGAGGAACTGATTTAGAGCTTTGCCGCGTTGTGTTTTGTTTTGCGGTTCTGTCACCTGTCCTCGGCCTGGATCGAAGTGAAAGGGTTTAAGTGTGTTAGTTTAAACTTTAGATGCACTAATCTATCTATGCTATATATAGGGCTGTTAGCGGTGCGGTTTCGGTTTTAACCGAACCGCAAACGCGGTTAATCGCAGCCGACTAACGTCCAAAAATGCCAACCGCAACCGACATCGACGGCCTTGTCGGTTAATCGAAAATCGTCGTAGACTGTTTCGGGTTGGTGTCGCGGTTAGCAAAAGACCGACGCAGAGGGCGAATCTGGCCGGATTTTTGGATCTGCTGGCGACATCGGCCTTGCTGGGCGGTGTCGGGATGACTGGGCGACATCGGCCTTTTTGGGCGACGACGGAACTGCCGGGCGACGTCGGACTGCCGAGCGATGGCGGGACTGTCGGGCGACTATGGCGAGATGACTAGCGATGGGGGAATGGCGATGTTGACGATTACTGGGAGTCTGGGACTGCGAGAAGGAGGGTGAAGGCGGCAGTGGGGAAGCTGAGAAGGACGGTGGCGAGTGACGATGGGCCGACTACTGTAGAAGGGACTACGGAGAGTCTGGGATGGTAAGGCACACGGTTGTCGCGGTTTATCTGCCACGGTTTCGGTTTTCACCGATAACCGCAACCCTCTCTAATTTTCCGGTGACTGCCAACCGACAACGCCAACCAACACCGACGTTGCGATTTTCGGTTGACCAAAAAACCGACGATCTCGGTTCGGCTACGAGATTAACCGGATAACCGGCCACTGATTAACAGCCTAGCTATAAATATTAGCTTTCTTGACCAACAAAATCTCCACGTTTTATATTGTCAAGAAGTTTTCAGGTGCATAAAAAAATGTTCGAAACTTCTACCAAAATGAAAATTATTTGGCTTATGAAAGATTTGTAACCCTTATCCTTCCTTAAATTTTGAGAAATTTATTTTGAAATGAAACATTTTTGTGTTTGGTATTTAAAAGAATTTATTTTCAATTCCAAAATTTGAATTTTATGGAATTGGTACTAATTATAGCAATTCCGAAGAATTGAGATGGAATTTCCAAATGAATTCCACAACTATTTACTAATTATAATAGAATGACATAATTATCCTCTTTATTAACTAAATTACTTATATATATGACATATCAAACACAATAATTCATTTGACAATGAATTTTACACGACAATTCATTTTATTTCTAAAGATTTGAATATGACATACTAAACACAAAATTTCATTTAACAATGAATTCTACACGATAATTCATTTTACAATGAAATGAATCTCAATCCCACTAACATACCGTTTGGTATAAATGAATTACACAAACTTTCAGAAATTCATTTTCAATATCCTAAGGAATTGGAACTAGTTATAGCAATTCCTAGAAATTAAGATAGAATTTCCAAATGAATTCCACAAATATTTACTAATTATACTAGAATGACATAATTATCATCATTTACTAATTAAACTAATTCTACATATATTATTCAGCGCCAATTCATGCAGTATGAGGAACGTCGACAAGAATTTGATAGCAATGCTAGTAGCATATGTTGGTTACTTGATATTTCTGTTTCGATTGTATCAATACATTGAGAAATCACAACTAGAGTGTATGGTTCATCGATGAAATATTAGAAAAGAATTAATTAATAGAATAGAATCACACAAGAGCACTTTTGATATTTTACGTATGAGACCAAATGCGTTTTCCAGAAGATGGATTTTCAATGAATATTGTTTATGTCGGAAATTAATAAGTGTGTAGGTGAAATTTTTTATTTAATTCAATTCTAAACATATGCCAAACATTATTTGAGAATTCGATTCATTTTATTTCTAAAGATTTAAATATGACATATCAGATACAGGAATTCATTTGACAACAAATTCTACAAGATAAGTCATTTTAAAATAAAATCAATTCTCGATTCATATTATTCATAATTATATAAAAAAAATTATATAGCTAAGTATAATTTCAAGTGAATAATCAAAATAGAAAGCATCAAAATACATATAATAGTTGCTTAAATTGATGAAATGCAATTTGGTTTTACATATGTCTATTATTTCCGTAAACATTTACTGAAATAAGCTAAATATGTCATTCACGGTAAGCTAAAGCATCCATAATTACTTCTAAAATTATGAAAAGACAACGCGAACCATATTTTGTATTAAATTAATGTCTAAATTTTCAGTTGAAAAATACCTAAGGTAACTATGTAAGCAAGATCATGAGAGAAATATGACAAAATATACTAACTTTCTCACCAATATATTTGTATATGCCACAATTGGATATTAACATTTAGTACAATAGTTGTAACATGAATTGGAACGGGTATCTCATAATTGAGTGACCCAAAATCTCCACTCAACCTAAAATAAATGGATTCCACAAAATAAAAGCACCACCCAACCTTAAACCTTATTTTCAGCAAGAAATATGTGTAGGTTAAGTCACGTTGGATATAGGAATGGCAATGGGCAGGTCCGGGGCTGGTTTCTTGGTACCCAGACTCGCCCCGTGGCAGGGCGGGTCCAGGTCGGGTAATTGATCACGGGTCGTGGGTCGCGGCAGGTCGACCCAATGGGTATGCAATTTATTTGAAAACATTAGAAATATTCGTTATTTTTATTAAAAAACTAAGAAAATAAACAATATTATGACAAGTGTAGTTAAATTATTGGAGAAATTGAGGTTTTCACTAATTTACAACTTTATTATAGCTAAAATATGATGCAATAAAAGTAAAATTCAAAGTAATTTGACTAAAATTTCATGTAATTTAGACAAGAACGGGTCGAAAATGGGACGGGTTAGGGGTGGGCATCGGTTCGGTTCGGTCAAAACCGAACCGAAATTAAGGATACCGGATCTACCGATCAATCTACACCTGAAACCGAAGTCGAACCGAAATATAACTCGGTTCGGTTTGTCCGAACCGAGTTATATTTCGGTCCGGTTCGGGATCCCGACCAAACCCGAAATTCCAGACTCTTCCTATTTTCTTTACACTCTCTTCGTCATTTTGTCCTCAGATCTTCCTCTCTCTCTACCAACAAACATCCTTCCACCTTCCTCTGCTCATCAAACCACTCCCTCTATCTCCTTCAAATTTGTTATTCTTCCAACCCTGATCTTACCCCAACTACTCCATAAATCTGCCTCCACAAATCCGCCTCTCACCTCCTCCTCTTCCTTCTCCCCTCCTCTTCCTTCTCCCCTGTCCAGCGCCGTTGTATGCCGTCGCGGGTCTGGGATAGGGTGTCGCCGCCGCAGACGACGCGACAAGCCCATCCCAAAACACGGCAGATCGCAGATCTGCTCCGTCTCTCTTCCGTCTTCGAATCCACCGACGGCGCCGACGACTCCAAGTTCATACGATCTCTGCCGCTAATGCCACCAATCCCGCATGCAAAAGGTGAGATCGATTGGCGACAAGGGCGTCGATGAGGGCGAAGCTGCGATTCATTGGTTGCTTGCGGCGTCGGATAGGAGATGAGATTTGGCGACGCGATGGTTCATGGAAGCTCCTGGAGATGAGATTTGCATTTGCCATTGCTCAATGTTCATTGTTGCTGGCGGCTGCTGTGTAGGATAGGGATAGAGATGGGATTGGGCTTAGGGTTGTGTGGGGTAGGATTTGGGATGGGATTGGGCTTAAGATCATGTGGGTTGTGGGGGCCTGGGTTGGGGAGATGGGTTTGGGGGAGAAGGGTTTGGGCTTGGGGAGAATGGGTTGTGGGATCTTGGGCTTAATTAAGGGGTGGGTGACATAAATTCGGTTTCTCGGTTCGGAGGTTCGGAATTCGGGTTCGGATTAACTACCCTGGTTTCCGAAATAATCAATTTTCCCTTCCGAATTCCGAACCGAACAAGATTAATTCGGTTTCGGTTCGGTTTTGTTCGGGTTCGGTCCGGTTCGGTCCGGGTTTACCGAACCGGATGCCCACCCCTAGGACGGGTCAGGGCAGGTCGGGTCGATGAGACTACCCATGCCCGCCCCGCCCCGCCCAAAACAGGTCAAACAGGTCGGGTAAAACGGGTCAGGTCGAAATTACCATCCCTAGTTGGATGAGATTTTTCCAAAAATAGCACTGTTTAAAAAATAAATTCCAAAAATAGCACCCAACTCCGAAAAATTCCAAAAATAGCACCATTTTTGTAAAACCGCCACCCCGAGGTGCGTTTTTTAATGAAAACGCCACCCGAGGGCGCGTTTTTCGATGAAAAACGCACTGGTAGGGAGCGGTTTTGCAGACCGCACCCCCAGGGTGCGTTTTGCCTTCTTTTTTTTTTGAAAACTCCTAATTTAGGTGGAAACTTCAAACGAACGTATCTTTATGTTCGGGTATCCGATCGTCGCGATTTTTTTTTATTCCGCATAACTTTTTGAGATCTTGCAAGCCGAAGACTGCCAAAGGTGGTTTGGTCTCGCCTTCGTACCAAAAAATGTCGTTTGCTACCCTGAACGAGCTTTTTTCCGATTTCGTCAAACTTTGGACAACCGTAACTTTGTGCTCCAAATCCAAACGGCATGATTTTTTTTTATTTCGCATAACTTTTTAAGGACTACAATTTTTACTAGGAATGTATTTTCAAAACAGGAATTATTTTTGGATATACAGGATTTTGGGAATAGCTTATCTTCCCTTCTCAGCAATCCACGTACATTTTGAAATTATGTCTATGATAAAAGTTGTATTCCTTAAAAATTATGCGAAATAAAAAAAAAATTCATGCCGTTTGGATTTTGGAGCACAAAGTTATGGTTGTCCAAAGTTTGACGAAATCGGAGAAAAGTTCGTTCAGGGTAGCAAACGACATTTTTTGGGACGAAGGGGAGACCAATCCACCTTTGGCAGTCTTCGGCTTGCAAGATCTCAAAAAGTTATGCAGAATAAAAAAAAATCGCGACGATCGGATACCCGAACATAAAGATACGTTCGTTTGAAGTTTCCACCTAAGTTAGGATTTTTCAAAAAAAAAAAACAAAAAACGCAAAACGCACCCTGGG